AAGGTAAACATAGAATGTCCATGTGATCCAGCAATTCCACCCCTAGATAGATATGCAAGAGAACTGAAAACATATGTCCACGGAAGACTGTGTACAAGGATGCTCACAGCAGCACTACTGACAATAGTGAAAGGGTTGAAACAAACCAAATATCCATCAGCTAATGAATGGATAAAGGAAACATGGTCAGTCCATACAGTAGAATAATGTCAATAAAATTAAATAAAGTACTGACAGGTGGCATGGTGGTTGTATATTGGGCTGCGATCCTCAAGGTCAGCAGTTCAAAGCCACCAACCTCTCCTGAGGGAGAAAGATGGGGTTTTCTACTTCCCAATAGAGTTAAGAGTCTCAGAAACTCACAGGGGCAGTACTACCTTGACCAATAGAGTCATTATGAGTCAGCATCGACTCAAGGGCAGTGACAATGACTGGCAGGTGCTTCCAGAAAACATTACACTAAATGATAGAAGTCTGTTGCAAAACGATCACATACATATAACTTCATTTATATTAAATACCTAGAATAAGCCAAGCAGTGAGAGAGAAAGTAGATTAACGGTTACGAGAAAGTGGATTGGAGGGAAATGGGGAGTGTTTACACCTTTTATTGAGGTGATAAAAAATGTTCAAAAATCTATTGCGGTGATGGTTACACAGCTCTATGAATACACCAGAAGGCATAGAATTGTATGTTTTCAATGGGTGAATTACATGGTATGTGGGTTAACTCAATAAAGTTGTTACTTAAAAAAAAAAAAAGTCAGGGTGTGGGGCTAGGATCTCATTCTGCTTCCACAACCAGTGGCAGGGAGCCTACCAAGATGCTGTCTGCTGCCCATTTCTTTAAAGATTCACAGGGCTGACCTCCATCCAGGCGTACTTTATTTATGAGATGATAAGGTTGCAGTAAGCACTTCTGGAAGAAGCCTACTTAGCGTCACTTTTGAAAATGTCAAATGAGTGACTCAGCTCATGAGGCAGAGGAAACAAGCTTTGGATGACCAGCTCTGGTGAGATGCTTCCAACAGATATGGAGGTACAAGGGTTGCATGCTGCACACAGCCAGGCAGAAGTGGCTATCAAGACAAAAACAAACCAAAGCTGAGATGCAGACCCCCAAATACCCAAATTGTCTCTCATCCTTCCCAATTCCCTAGGAAGAGGGGCATAAAGTACTTAATGGGCACGATTTTCCTCATTTATCACACTCTTCTTTAATCCTCACATGTCTGTCAAAGAGAGGGTATGATCCTTGTTTTAATAGGCAAGACAGCAAACTCCATTCAGAACGAGACCATCTGAAAGCTAGGAGTCCTAGGTTACAGAGCTGTCAGAACCCAGAGCCCAGGCACTCTCCAGGACCCACTACCCCAACGTGCCTCCCTCTCCTGTGCATGGGCAGAAGCAACGCTGCTTCTGCAAACACTCCAGAGCACCCAGGGCGGAGGCTTCCAGTGGCTTTGGGCCCACCTCCCTTACCCGAAGCCACCCATGGCAGCTGAATGGATTTGTGGTCTAAGTCCTGAAGTCAGGAGTAGACAAAAATGTATCCATCACTCACCAGGACAGGCACAAACCTCAAGATAATTTGTTTTCCAATGGTTTCAGCTTCAAGTTTGGGTTTGGCATGGACTTTTTAACAACGAACAGCTGTAGGCAATTTTCACACAGAATAAAGACATCAATAGGGCAGAGAGAGTGAAATTCTCCTTCTTATGGAACAATAGCTGTCTTCAAGATGAATGTGGATCAGCCACAGTAAGAGCCCATTCTCTGGGCCTCAGAATCAGGGTGAAAGGACCATGGGTGGAGATGCTGTCAAGCTACCCACTCTGCCCAAGAGTTCCTCTACTAAAGAAGAGATTTGCATCTATCAGCAAAGCCCAGGAGATTGGCTTTAAGTTTTAAAATACTGTTCAGTGGTAAATAAAAATCAAGCCATAAACACATCTTTATTGCCCTCTTAATAGTCATAAAGGCACATGACTCATTGCTGCTTTCTGGGGGAGCATTACGTGACCCTGTACCTCAATGACCTCTAGTTTTCCCATCTAACTTGCGGTACCGGTCCGTGTAAAAGGATGATACATCATCGCTCTGTGAATTCAGAAGAGGCCAGGCAATTTACTTTGGCCAATTAAATGTGCGCAGGAGTGGCACATGTCAGTTCCAGCATGAGCTTGATAAACTGCTAGTGGTTCAACATGTTTCTCTTTCCTATTGCACCAGGACTGGGTCTTGCATAAAGGTCAGCAAGAAGCAGAAGCACAGCTGACACACTGTAGACATGCAGCATTAGCAATGGATAAACCTCCCTACTGTCACCAGTGTGCTTTTGGTATCACATCATAAACTAGCTTACCATGACTAGATAGCCACCTTGCGTTGATCCCCTCCCCTCCTCTTCTCTTCTCACCTCGGGCTCCCTACCTGCCAGTCACCTCCTCCCGAAGTCTTCCTTCAGCACTTTTCTCATCACCTTGTTTCGCCCTCACAACACACATACACATAATCTCTATAGTTACAGCAGTGTGTCTTCTTCAACATCGATCTTCCTTTGCTACTGAAAATGCTAGTTCTTTGGGACAAAGTTCTGGTTTTCTATTGTGAATCTTCTCATGGCACCTAGACCAGAATTCTGCATATAGTGGTGATGAGAGGAGGAAAGAAGTCCTTAAATGCTGATAATATTCAACATATGCAAATATTCATAAAGTATAAACATGCTATCAAGAATCACCACTTATTCCTAATCAATTATGGTTGGTAATAGGCCCATTACTTTACTCGGGAGGCCGGAAGACAAACATTAGCTTCATAACACTCTATCATGTTGATTTACCCTGGTACTTTATAGATGAATTTTGTTCTGTAAGAGGTGGGATGGTGTGGTCAGTCCAGGTAATACCCCTGTAGGACCGTGAGACAAGTCTATATTACTTTATTGACTTAAGACTCAAACCAAATGACACTATTCTCCAATATCTGTTGAAAAAAAATAAATGGTCTAGTTATAAATACATTCTATAACAGAATGCTAGTGGTGGTCAAGGGAGCATAGCATACTCCTGTAATGCAGTCCTATTATTTATGTTCTGATTTAAACATCACATCAAACCTAAGAGAAAAGATTCTCTTTCACTTTCTCTATTCCAGAAAATAAGTTTGACAAACTTGTATGATTTCCTCATGGTTATCCAGATAACAAAGTCAGAGAAGTAATTTAAACTAAAGTCTTCCTGATCTCCAGGCCAATGCTCTTTAAATGACACTGTATTATCTTCTAAAATAGAGAATGGAAAGAAACGCTACTCAGGACACACTTGCTAAGGTGAGTATACACTTACGTCCTGCACTAGATCCATCCCTACAGTATTGAGGATTTCAAACCATGATGTTATCTATAAAAAGTTTCCCACAAGTTATTATTCCAACCCTATCATTAAGCTAAATAATAATACTGTACTTAAGCAATAATGTCTTTCATCAAAGGACCAAGTGCAGGAGGGATAGTATGACTAACTTTTTAAAGGACATATTAATACTATATTTGAGAATGGCGGTGGGAAGGGAATTTGGGAACTCCCAGCGGTGAAAGGTCGATGAGAAAATGACAATGCACACAAAAGCATAGACTTGGTTGAGATGGGGAGGGATTCTATCAGGAAGGGCCACTGGGATGCAGTACTGCTGCATACTTGAAGACCTAAAGGTCTAATGCCATCAATCCCAAAAGGGGAAAGGCTACAGAGACCACTATGATAAAGATGAGGCTTTCTGTTTCTGTAAAGATTTCAGTCTTGGAAACCCAAAGAGGTAACCCTACCCGGTCTTATCAGGTCACTATGAGTCAAAATTGACCCCATGGCAGTTAGTTCTTTTTGTTTATTTGATTTTTCATGTACACAGTGATGATCTACAAATAGACATTTGGATAGACACACAGTTTAAAGAAGTGTAGGAGGAAGAAGGGGTGCATACCCATGGATATATATATATAGGTTCGACAGGGTATTTACCTTTGCTGCAAATATATCCATGAATGTGGTAGAATGCACAGGGAACAGAGTTATGAAAACTTCTTGGACCTAACAAACACCTTGAGGAAACGAGTCACTGGGCCTGGGGGTTCAAGACTATGTCTTGGAGGACACCAAGTCCAACTGGCATAACGCAGTCCATAATAACAAGGCCTTAAAAGCTCAGGAGTGGTCATCCTACATGTAAATATTAGTCTCTACCTGTCCAGAAAAAAAGAGAGTGACGAAAACCAAAAGAGATCCATGAGAACACTTAGTCCAATGGACTAATGAACCGTGCAAGCACCATACTCCACAGCCCTGAGGGCAGAAGAACTAGACGGTGCCCAGCTACCACTAGCGACTGCCCTCAAAAGGATCACTTTAGAAGGTCTTGGATAGAAGAGGAGAAAAAAATGTGGAACAAAACTCAAAATTACGAAATAGACCTGGCTTACTGGCTACACAGAGATTGGCGGGACCAAGACTAAGACCCTGGTTCACCCTCCAGGTCTGGAACGGAACTCACCACAGGTTAGAATAATCACCCATGTACGACGGAACAGGGTCGCTGCGAGGGTTAGGAAAGGAGGAAGACTGGAAGCAGGAGTGGGGTAAGTGGCAGGACACTGAAGGGATCGAGACCCAGGAGTTGAAACAAA